GAGTTCCTTGAACAACACTCACTCTTCTCAACCTCAATTTCTTGTATCATCTGTTCTCTCTCCTTTTTTCCCACTTCAGGACTATCCTTCCTTTTCATTTCAAGGATAATCCCCCCCTTTTAGTGTTTGTGATTCTATCTCTTTCCACCACTCCTATGACTTTGTGCCACAAAATGCTCCTCTTCTCTTGCTGCTTTTCCAAACTTTCCCATTCACTCCCCAGCTTTCTCACAGTAGATTTGTACTGATTGTTTCACCAATGACTTCCTGGTTGCCCAAATCAATGGCCTCATTGGCTCCAATGACTCTGCAGCAAATGCCTTTGGGACAGTCCCTTTCTTTCAGAAATTGCTCCCTAGGGTTGGATGGAGCTTTGCTCTTAGTTTCTGACTTTTTCAGCCCCTGCCAGGTCCTTTGCCTCTTTGTGTACTTGAAACACAGAGTTGCCCCATGGTCCTGCCCTAAGTCTTCTGCTCTCCTTTCCCTCACTCACTTCCAGCATGCCTGTAATATGACCTCTGCATGTATCTTCTCAAATCTATTCTCTGGTCTCTCTCAAGTTCCAGTGACGAATTTCCTCACCAGCAGGTATCCCATCCACAAACATGTCTCATTGACTCCTCAGACTCAACATTTTCAAAATTGAGGTAAGCATCTTCCCTTTCTCATTGTCACTACAATTTCTGTGAATGGGACCATCATGTTTACAGCCCTCCAGGCCAGAAATCTCAAAGCAGCCTTTGACTCGTGGCTCCCCATTGTTTCAAATTCAATCAATTGTGAAGTCCTTTCAGGATGACCCCTGAAATATATCTAGCATAAATGCTCTTTTCCCTTTTTTATTTTCAGTATCTTTTTTTTTTTGTCTTTTGACTTTTTCCGTGTCCGGCAATGGATCGCAACCCTCAGTGTTGCCCCCGTACCGGACCGGGGACCGGCAACGGGATTGCAACCCTCGGTGTTGCTCCCGCGCCTCGCTCAGCCAGTGAGCGGGAACCGGTCTGTATGTGGGATCCGAACCCTTGGGCGGGAGCGCAGCCGCGCTTCCCAAGCGGCGCACTATCCAGTGCGCCACCGGGCCGGCCCTATTTTCAGTATCTTAATTCAGGCTTTCATTACTTTTTATTTCAATTATTCTAATATACATATTTCTGGGTCCTCTCATGCTCGATGCTTTCTACATATTTTTGCCAGATGAACTTTTCCTTCATGAAAAGACTCAACTTGTCTACTTCCTTAGAGGGCCTTATTGTGCTAGTACAGAATACCGTATAGACTTCTAACCAGTTTCCCTGTTGTCCTATGTTAACAGCCTCCAACTTGCTGTCAGAGCGGCCTTTCTAATATGCAAAGGTCATTCCCCAGTTTAGAGTTTTTCAGTGGCTCCCTATTTCCTATAGTACATGCTTTCCCATTCTAGCTGAGCACACAGACCCTTCCCGAGTTCGTGGTCTCTTGCACATTCAGTCTCAAGCTCCTCTAAGCTCCCTCCAGCTGCCATTTGTCCAAGGCCTGCTTGTGTACCTTTTTGTCTTGGTATATACTGTGTTTGCTCTTCCCCTGGGTTTTAATGTCCCTTTCCCTACTCTATCCAGGTAGAAGTAGGTACTCACTTTTCTACATTTCCACATTTCTAATACACGGTCCTATTTCAGCATGTATCAGGTTTTTATTTGCCTGCCTATCTCTCCATTTGACCCTGAGTTCTTGAAAGGTTGGGGTCAGATCTTTTAATCTCTGAAACCCTAGTGCCTGCAACTAGGATTCAATAAATGCTGAATAAGTGAGGAGTGAACCAAGTTTGGTGATATCACCTACATTTTCCTTTTTGGAATCAGCACTTCACGTAGATGCCGCTCAGTTACCATAAGGAACTGGCAGTCATTCTTTAGGACCCCTATTTTTCTACCATGTTAGGTCATTGTAGTTGACAGAGTAGGGCAGGGTGAAGTGGATCATTTGTCTAGGAGGAGTAAGGAAGTACCTACTTTTCCTTCAGAAGCACCATCATCGTGTAAATGGAAACAGGACAGAGCAGGCGTAAATCCTGAACATAATCTCAGCACACACCAGTTAGCAAGATTCAAACATAAGGTGTCAGGAATTTAGTCATTTCCATCTCACCTTGAGTAGAAGTAGGCACACCTCAAGCACCATCACTGTTCTGTCTCAGCAGGATTAAGTTTTAAGTAGCCTGCAGTGAAGGGTGAGGGTAGCCTCCAACTCCGTGCTTTTTACAAGTGGTGGCCTACAATTCCAAGGTCTGACACGTGGGTTATCACATATTAATTCAGATCACATTTTCTATTGTGGTTTTGTTGACGTCTAGTGTCCTTTGATTGCTCTCCAGATCATACTTTTTGCTATCAGTGGCACAAAACCAATAGAAGATACCATGTCCTGTCAGTAAGGATCTGGAGAACTGTGTGTCTTTGCAGTTACTTCTCATAGCAGTCAGGAGTGTAATGTCAGCGTGTCACCTGTTG